CCAGTCCCCCTGGCTGTCACCCTTCCCCATCATCCCTCGGCCCCTCCTCCTTCCCTCTGTCCTCGGAGGCCGCCTCACCCAATCTCATCAGTCTTCCTCCCCTCCCTTCGCCTGTCTCCCTGCTCCTCGCCCTGTTCGCTGTGGGTGTCTCTCCGCCCCCTCTTTCTTCTCTCGTGCGATCTTCCGCCCCCGAACCCGTAGCTCGTGCGTACTGTCTGGGAGGCTGCGAGCCTCGCAGACCAACTGGTCATCTGAGTATATGTGTTCGGTAGTTGGTACGACCGATAGTGAAGGACAGTGGCTTTAAGATCCTATTCCTACTACTACTACTACTACTACTACTACTACTACTACTACTACTACTACTACTACTACTACTACTACTACTACTACTACTATTACTACTAGTACTACTACTGCTACTACTACTACTATTACTGCTGCTACTAGTTCGACTACGACTACGGCTACGACTACGACCACTACTACTACTACTACTACTACTACTACTACTACTACTACTACTACTACTACTACGACTGTACTACTACTACTACTACTACTACTACTACTACTACTACTACTACTACTACTACTACTACGACTACTAGTACTACTACGACTACGACTACCACTACGACTATTATTACTACTACTACAGCGACTACTATTGGTTCTACGACTACCACGACTACGACTCCTACCCTTACGACGACGACGACGACGACGACGACGACGACGACGACTACTACTACTACTACTACTGAGATCTCCCCTTCCCACGACGGCTACCACGACACATACGATTATGACAACGGCGACGATGACTACTACTACAACCAAGACTACTACTACTACTGCTACTACTACTACTACTACTACTACTACCACTACCACTACGACTACGAAGAACACTTGTATCATTACTACTGAGACTACTACGACGGCTACGACTACTATTCTTATTTTTTTTCCTGCTACGATTTCTACCGCTACTGCTACAACTACTACGACTGGTACTACTACTACTACCACTAGTAGTACTACTACTACTACTACTACTACTACGACTACTACTACTACTACTACTACTACTACTACTAGCAGTACTGCTGCTACTACTTCTACTACTACTACGACTACTACTACTACTGTTACTATTACTACTACTACTACTACTACTACTACTGCTACCTACCACTACTACTATGGCCACCAAAATTTTTGCTACGACGGCTACGACTACGATTCCGACTGCTAACACGCATACTATTTCTGTTACTACTACTACTATCACTACTACTACAACTACTACTAGTACCACGACGACTACGATTACTATTACTACTACTACTACTACTACTACTGCTACTACTACT